CTAAATAGGCCCTAGTATGTGTATGTATGAATGTAAGTTAGGGACCTTAGATTGTACTTCGCTTGAGAGTTAGGGGCCGATGTGAATGTACAATATATATATACAGTCATGGCCGAAATTGTTGGCACCCTTGATATTTCTCCAGGAAATCATGTATTTCTCACAAAAACGTATTGCATTAACACATGTTTTGCTATACACATGTTTATTCCCTTTGTGTGTATTGGGACAAAACAAAAAAAGGGAGGAAAGAAAGCAAATTCGACATAATGTCACACAAACCTCCAAAAATGGGCTGGACAAAAGTATTGGCACCCTTTCACAACTGCGGATAAATAAGAATGTTACAAGCATGTGATGCTCCTGTAAACTCACCTGGCAAGTAACAGGTGTGGGCAATATAGAAATCACACCTGAAAGCAGATAAAAAGGAGAGACGTTCACTTAACCTTTGCATTGTGTGTCTGTCTGTGCCACACTAAGCATGGACAACAGAAAGAGGAGACGAGAACTGTCTGAGGACCTGAGAACCAAAATTGTGGCAAAATATCAACAATCTCAAGGTTACAAGTCCATCTCCAGAGAACTAGATTTGCCTTTGTCCACAGTGCGCAACATTATCAAGAAGTTTGCAACCCATGGCACTGTAGCTAATCTCCCTGGTCGTGGACGGATGAGGAAAATTGATGAAAGATTGCAACGCAGAATAGTCCGGATGGTGGATAAGCAGCCCCAAACATGTTCCAAAGACATTCAAGCTGTCCTGCAGGCTCAGGGAGCATCAGTGTCAGCGCGAACTATCCGTCGACATTTAAATGAAATGAAACGCTATGGCAGGAGACCCAGGAGGACCCCACTGCTGACACAGAGACATAAAAAAGCAAGACTACAGTTTGCCAAAATGTACTTGAGTAAGCCAAAAGCCTTCTGGGAAAACGTCTTGTGGACAGATGAGACCAAGATAGAGCTTTTCGGTAAAGCACATCATTCTACTGTTTACCGAAAACGGAATGAGGCCTACAAAGAACAAAACACAGTACCTACGGTAAAATATGGTGGAGGTTCAATGATGTTTTGGGGTTGTTTTTTTGCTGCCTCTGGCACTGGGTGCCTTGACTGTGTGCAAGGCATCATGAAATCTGAGGATTACCAAAGGATTTTGGGTCGCACTGTAGGGCCCAGTGTCAGAAAGCTGGGTTTGCGTCCAAGATCCTGGGTCTTCCAGCAGGACAATGACCCCAAACATACGTCAAAAAGCACTCAGAAATGGATGGCAAAGAAGCGCTGGAGAGTTCTGAAGTGGCCAGCAATGAGCCCAGATCTAAATCCCATTGAACACCTGTGGAGAGATCTTAAAATTGCTGTTGGGAAAAGGTGTCCTTCCAATAAGAGAGACCTGGAGCTGTTTGCAAAGGAAGAGTGGTCCAAAATTCCGGGTGAGAGGTGTCAGAAGCTTATTGATGGTTATAGGAAGCGACTGATTTCAGTTATGTTTTCCAAAGGGTGTGCAACCAAATATTAAGTTAAGGGTGCCAATACTTTTGTCCAGCCCATTTTTGGGGTTTTGTGTGACATTATGTCATATTTGCTTTTCTGCCTCTGTTTTATATTTGTTCCAATACATACAAAGGGAATAAACATGTGTATAGCAAAACATGTGTTAATGCAATACCTTTTTTGTGTGAAATACTTGATTTTCAGGAAAAATATCAAGGGTGCCAACAATTTCGGCCATGACTGTATGTAAAGCGCTGCGTAAGTTGACAGCGCTATATAAGTACCTGAAAAAAACTACCTGAACTTCAACTACCAACTCTATGCCGACAACACACAAATCTATCTCTCTACCCCCCCCCGCCTCACCCCTGCAATCTCCGCCCGAATCACAAACTTACTAAATGACATATAAGACTGGATGTCGTTCCACTTCCTTAAACTGAACCTCTCCAAAACCCTAGTCTTCCCCCCAGCCCGGACCCCACCCCCCGCTGACTTCTCCATCACGTCCAACAGGCCAGAGTACTTGGTGTCATTCTGGACTCCAATCCTTCCAGCCCCAAGTCCAATCACTAACAAACTCATGCAGACTCCACCTCCACAACATCACCAAAATCCGCACGTTCCTAACCCCAGAAACCACTAAACAGCTCATCCACTCCCTCATCATATCACGACTCGATTACTGCAACTCCCTCCTCACTGGCCTGCCTCACCGCAGACTATCCCCGCTTCAGTCGATCCTGAATACGGCAGCCAGACTCATTGACCTCACCAACCGCTCTGTTTTCGCCACCCCCCTCTGCCAATCCCTCCACTGGCTTCCGATTGCGCAACGGATCAAATTCAAAATCCTAACACTGACGTACAAAGCTGTCCATCATACATACTGCCCCAAACTACATCACTGACCTAATATCCAAGTACCACCCAACACGCACACTCCGCTCCTCTCAAGACCTCCTTCTCTCTAGTTCCCTGGTCTCCTCCTCCCATGCCCACTTCCAGGACTTCTCCAGGGCGTCACCCATCCTCTGGAACGCCCTACCCCAATCCATCAGACTATCACCTACTCTCCTCTCATTTAGGTGCACCCTGAAAACCCACCTCTTCAGGGAAGCCTACCCCACCCCGACCTCCTCCAATCTTCCTACCACTCCATTCCCCACAGCTATCTCCTCCTGTACCACTATCCCCCCCCTCCTAGATTGTATGCTCGAAGGAGCAGGGCCCTCGAACCCCTCGTGTATCACATTGTATTGTTATTGTACTGTCGCATGTTCTGTCTCCCTTTGTAATGTACAGCGCTGAGCGAAGTGTTGGCGCTTTATAAATACTGTATAATAATGATAAATAAAATAAATAAATAAAAATCAGTCTGAAGCTTCTCCTTTATATGTTCGGTCACAGGCTAGGGAAAGGACAAGACCTGTAAGGTGTTACTTAAAGCTGAACTCCAGGAAAGCTAAAAATTCTTTGTTGCTGTGGGGCTGTGCCCACATTGAACGGGTTACCTGCTCGTTTATGTCTAGGGGCCTTTGCAAAGAGCTTTAATTTATCTGATCCTGCAGGCTTCCCTACACTTCAGTGGTCTAAGGTCCTCTGACATCGTCAAGACGTTTGCAGGGACCATAGCCCTGCACTGGACATAAGAATGCCGAGGAATAAAGCAATCGGGCATCATATGAAACTTTCCATGAACTCAAGTTAAGCTCTATTAATTATGTTTGGATCCACTCTTTTTGCTTGACTCTTTAGCATGAAGTACACATATATAGTGTAAAATTTTGATGGCACTGAGACACAGTCACTCTGCCCATTGGTTTTCATTTTTCATTTTTTTCATAGCTACAAGTAGCAGGATTGTTCATGTCTAGTGTGCTACAATATGTTGAAACCATCTGAATATAGGGCAACATCTGGAGGATAGATAGAAACAGCTATTTGAAACTACCCTTTAATTAATGATTGCTTTGACATTTGATCCTAAGGTCACCAAGAGTCACCCTGTAACAACAATTCACTCGGTTTAAAACTGTGAACTGCCCATGGGACAATCTGAAACCAATCTGTTTCCTGGTACGGGCTGTAGGTAACTTATAGAATGTTCTTGCCTTTATGTCCTTCATTACTTCCAGCTGCCCAGATGACAAATGTTAATATATATCAGATAAGGTTCTGTCTATGATTTTCTTACAATTTATTTATTTCAGGTACTTATATAGCGCCATAAATTTACGCAGCGCTTTACATATATATTATACATTCACATCAGTCCCTAACTCTCAAGGGGTGTACAATCTAAGGTCCCTAACTTACATTCATACATACACATATTAGGGACAATTTAGACAGGAGCCAATTAACCTACCAGGATGACAATTAAAGCAGAACTTTACCCAAACCAACCTAATCAAAAATAATGTTCTTTAGGAAGGAACATACATTCCAGATTAATAATTATGCTACCAAAACTAGTGTGTGTTGTAAATTGCCTCCAGTATTGTTCTGGTTTCCTCCTCCTGGAGGCTGCCATTTTGCTATAGCCCAGAACCTCTGAGCAGTAGCAAATCTTGCATATGCAGAAGGGTGAGACAGTGTATTACTGGATTTTAAATAGTATAGGCACTTATTTTTAATTACCAAATTTTTCGCTCCATAAGACGCACTTTTTTCCCCCCAAAAAAGGGGGGAAAATGTCAGTGCGTCTTATGGAGCGAATATGGAGCTGCCAGTCCGGTATTTCCACCGCCGCCATGTCAGAATACCGGGCCGGCCGCTCAGCTCTGCAGCGGGACCTTATGGAGATGACTGCTGACCTTTGGGAAGGTGGGGAGTGGGTACCTGAATTGGACAGGTACCCGTTCTTACTTCCGCGGAGTTGTTCATTGACCTTACCTGTTCCTCTATCCAGCGCCGCGCTGTCTTCCCGGCTTCTGTAGTGTGGGCGCTGGGCTTGAGAGCCGGTGCCAAGTGCGCATGCGCAAGAAGCGGTGCTTTTTGTGAATGGTAAGGCGGTACCTGGGAAACATGACAGATCCCAGAAGCCGCCGGACAAATCACAAAGCGCAAGTGCTTCTCGCTCATGCGCACTGGGCACCCGGCTGTCATGCCGAGCACCGACACTACAGAAGCCGGGAAGACAGCGCGCGGCTGGATAGAGGAACAGGTAAGGTCAATGAACAACTCCGCGGAAGTAAGAGCGGGTACCTGTCAAATTCAGGTACCCGCTCCCCCACCCCCCCCCCAAAGGTCAGCAGTCATCTCTGTACTGTCCGCAGTCTCTGGTCATCTCCTGTACTGTCCGCAGTCTCTGGTCATCCCTGTGCTGTCCGCAGTCTCTGGTCATCCCTGTGCTGTCCGCAGTCTCTGGTCATCCCTGTGCTGTCCGCAGTCTCTGGTCATCCCGCAGTCTCTGCCTGTCCGCAGTCTCTGGTCATCCCTGTGCTGTCCGCAGTCTCTGGTCATCCCTGTGCTGTCCGCAGTCTCTGGTCATCCCTGTGCTGTCCGCAGTCTCTGGTCATCCCTGTGCTGTCCGCAGTCTCTGGTCATCCCTGTGCTGTCCGCAGTCTCTGGTCATCCCTGTGCTGTCCGCAGTCTCTGGTCATCCCTGTGCTGTCCGCAGTCTCTGGTCATCCCTGTGCTGTCCGCAGTCTCTGGTCATCCCTGTGCTGTCCGCAGTCTCTGGTCATCCCTGTGCTGTCCGCAGTCTCTGGTCATCCCTGTGCTGTCCGCAGTCTCTGGTCTTCCCTGTGCTGTCCGCAGTCTCTGGTCATCCCTGTGCTGTCCGCAGTCTCTGGTCATCTCTGTGCTGTCCGCAGTCTCTGGTCATCTCCTGTACTGTGTCCGCAGTCTCTGGTCATCTCCTGCACTGTGTCAGCAGTCTCTGATCATCCCCTGCACTGTCCGCAGTCTCTGGTCATCCCCTGCACTGTCCGCAGTCTCTGGTCATCTCCTGTGCTGTGTCCGCAGTCTCTGGTCATCTCCTGTACTGTGTCCGCAGTCTCTGGTCATCTCCTGTACTATGTCCGCAGTGTCTGGTCATCTCCTGTACTGTGTCCACAGTCTCTGGTCATCCCTGTGCTGTCCGCAGTCTCTGGTCATCTCCTGTACTATGTCTGCAGTCCATTAGTTCAGAATTTTTTTTCCTGTTTTCTGCCTCTAAAACCTAGGTGCGTCTTATGGTCAGGTGCGTCTTATGGAACGAACAATACGGTAGTTGCTGTCCGCCCACAATGCAATTAGTGCAGGAGGGCAGCATGGGCAGGCTGGATCACGTACATGTACGTGATCCATCCTAGCACACCACATCGCTGCCTTGACTGCTGTGTCCACCAGACACAGTGGATTACAACTCCTGGTACCCGGCGGCTTTGAGCAGCACAGGAATCAGGTGATCACATAGATCACAATGTTAACAAAGCTGTTATGAATGAATGTCATTCGAACAGCTGTGATTCCTGTAGAGTGATGCTGTGATTGACCCACAGCAATCACACGGTAACTGGGTCAACCACAGCACCCTGTACCATATTTTAGCTGTGGGCCAATCACAGCACACAATATTAATCACAGTTATGAATGTAACCCATTAAAACATTGTTGTTACAGTTATCAACATAGTAACTGCAATCAAAGTAGTACAGACATGGAACTACCTGATGAAACTATGTAGAAAAAAAAACAAAGCAAAAATAGAAGAAACATTTTTTAATGTTTTAAAAAATTGAATGGTGAGAGTATGTTAAAAATAAATAAATACATTTTAAACTTTTTTTATTCAGTGTCCCTGATCACTGCCACACCAGTCATATATGACAACGCTGTACTGCACTGGTGAGAGTATGTATATAAAAAAAAAAAAAATTGTGGGGAAAAAAAAAAACAAAACAAAAAAAAAACCACACAGTTTAACTTCTTAATTTTTAAAATATTTTTCAAAAAATATTGTGACAAAAAAATTATAGCTTCAAAAAACTCACCATGCCTCTTTCTAAATACCTCAGACTGTCTACTTTCCAAAAAGGGATCATTTAGGGGGCATTTTAATTTCTTCAAGATATAAGGTAGGCCTTCAGTACCTCAGGATTGATTTATTTTCAAATATACAGTATATACCATAGTTTGTAGATGCGATCACTTTCACACAAATCAATGAATGTACACTGGGATTATTATTATTTTTTTTTTTTTAACAAAGATGTGTAGCAGAATACATTTTGCCTAAATTTACAAAGAAATTAGATTTTATTGGAAATTTATAAACAGAAAGTAGAAATGTTTTTTCAACATTTTCAGGTTTTTTTTTTCATTTACATAGCAAAAAAATTAAAAAAAACCCAATGGTGATCAAACACCACCAAAAGAAAGCTCTATTTGAAAGAAAAAAATATAAATTTCATTCAGGTACAGTGTTGCAATTGCTAGTGAAAGTAGCATAGTGCTGAATAGCAAAAAATGGTCTGGTCATGAAGGGGGTAAAACGTTCCAGAGAACAAGTGGTTAATATTTTACATAGTTATGGCTGCAAAATGGGGACAGCATGAAGTGTTCTAGCAGTACCTAATTTTCTAACTAGAGTTACATTTTAAAAGAGTTATAGAGCATTTTAAGAGTACAAGCGAGAATTGGAATGTCATGAATACTGGTTTACCAATTTGTTTACTTTCGCACTGATCCATGGCAAAAAACATGGGAAAAAATGCATATGTCTTTTTACCATGTTTGAGGTGCATTTTTTTACAGGACATGCAACACGGGTGTGTTTTTGATGCATTTTGCAGCATTTTCCATTGATTTCAATGGGAAGGTGCATTTTTGGTGTAGTTTTTTTTTACCACACCAAACCTGCACAAAAAATGCAGCAAGCAAGATTTTAAAAAACACACCGGACCCACAACGGATCAGTGTGAAGAGTTCCATAGGAATACATGTTCACGTTTTCCTTCTGCTCTTTTTTTTTTTAACACAAAAAGTGGAAGAAAAACAGATCAGTGTGAAAGCAGCCTAAAATTGGAATTATGCTGAAGAACATTGGAATGTTGATAATGTCTGCAGTTGGCATGTTTCTATTAAAGATAGATAAGTAAAGCATTTATGCTTGCTTATATCACAATGTGCATTAGAAAGCTTGTTACAGAATAGCACTGCATATTTGTGTTGTGGTGTGTTGCTTTTCATCGTCAAATGCACCACAACTCACATCTGCAGTGCAATGTACTGCAACACCCAGATGCAAATTCTCTGTGTATTACAGCTCATTGAAGGAAATTTAACAAACCTAGAACAGACAGAATCTGGAGCAGCTGTGCTCGACAGCCAATCAGCTTTTAGGTTTAATTTTCAAACCGAGCAACAACTGAAGATGGAAGCCGATTGGTAGTCCTGCACAGCAGCTCCATGTCCTGTCTGCTTCAGTCTTGATACATTTCCCCCACTGCAAAAACAAAACAAAATCAATGGGCTACCTATCAAAACTTGCTTCAATGCACAGAAACACGATATGAATACATAAGTACTTTGTAAAAAAAAACTCCACACACCACCTCATCAGACATCATAGCACACCTCCATTATTCACAGCATGATGTGCTTGGCATCAAGTCATGTTCTAGGCAAATTAAAAGAAAAAAAAAATTATATATATATATATATACACACATACACACATACACACACACACACACACACAGCTTTCCTGGAGCATTTCAGTCCCTGGTAATGCAACTGAAGCAAACAATCAACTATGGGTGGCAAAGCACTGTCAAAAGATCTCCGGGAAAAAGTTGTGGCCAGGTACAAGCCAGGAGCTGGATCCAAAAAAAATTCAAAAGACTTTATCAATGCCTAGAAGCACAATGAAATAGATTATTAAGAAGTGAAAGGTATTAACACAGACCCTCCCTTGGATCAGGACGTCGCTCCAAACTGGATGAAAGAGCCAGGAGGAAACTGGTCAGAGAGACTACCAAGAGGTCTACAGTAACTCTGAAGCAGTTGCAGGAATTTATGACAAAGAGTAATCATTGTGTGCATGTGACAACAATGTCACAAATTCTCCACGAATGTGGTTTGTATGGGAGGGTTGCAAGAAAAAAGCCACTCCTCAAGAAAGGCCACATGCAGTCATGACTGAGCTTTTTTGAAGATTCTGAGGCCACATGGAAAAAGGTGTTATGGTCAGATGAGACGACAACTGAATTATTTGGCCTCAACACTAAATGATATATCTGGGGGAAATCCAATACAGCTTACCATCCAAATAACACCAATCCTACAGTAAAGCATGGAGGTGGTAATATCCTGTTATGGTGATGTTTCTCTGCAGCAAGGACTGGAGCACTTGTCATGATAGAAGGAAAAATGGATGGAGCAAAATATCGTCACAATCTTGAAGAAAATCTACTGCCCTCTGTGACAAAGTTGTCAATGACAACATGACAATGACACAAAGCACACAGCAAAAATGACCACACAGTGCTTGAAGGAGAAAAAGGTGAATGTCCTTCCATGGACTAGTCAGAGCCCAGACTTAAACCCCAATGAATGATTGGAAGATGGCAATCCACAAATGGTCACCAACAAATTTAATTCAGCTTGAGTAGTTCTACAAAGAAGAGTGGGCAAATATTGCAAAGTCTAGATGTGCAAAGTTAGTAGAGACATGGGAATGAGGGATATAGATGTATACATATGGTAAAAATTTGTTTCTAACAGATGTTGAATTAGCATTTCTATCTACTATATTGTGCATGGATGAGCTGAGGGGGTTTCACCCTAAAGAGTTCAGCTCAGTGGAAGGCTGGTTTTTGTTAGATTATTTTGGTTTTATATGTAGTGCTATTTTTTTTTTTTCTTTTTGTTTTCTCCCAGTTTGTCTTTTTTTCAAAAAAGCGGATGTGGAAAATGTTGTGGTTTGGAATCTATGTTTATATCTTCGGTATACATGACTATGTACCCTTTTTACATTGTAAAGCTGTAAATTGTTGATAAAAACACCACACTCTGCTGGAGATTGCGGTTGTATGATTATATGTATATGTGGATCCAAGCTTCAATGAAAAAAAAGGAAGTAGAGACATATCCCAACAGACTAAAGGCTGGAATTAAAGCAAAAGGTGGTTCAACAAAATACTGACATGGAAGGGAGGGAGAGGATCTTTTTCCCAACCCAGGGATTCTTTTTTTTTTTTTTTTTTTTACAGTTTTCTAACATGTTGGTGTCTTTCACTTGGATGTTATACAGCTAGATAAAACAAAAACTGTGTCTGTCTTCATTTCAGGCTGCAAAGCAACAACATGTGATTATTATAAAGGGGGCAATTCTTTTATATACCCAGTGTTGTGTGTGTGTGTGTATATATATATATATATATATATATATATATATATATATCAGAAGCGGGTATGAGATATAATCACAAAGGAAATGGCTATGTGAATGACTATATGAATTATTTTTCTGATTGTGCTCCTGCTGTCCCCTACCATGAAAGATCACCATGCACAAGAGTATGACCTGATTCACCAAATTTATTAAAGACATGGTTGGAATGCAACCAAGGTCCCAGAAGCATCTTATAAGTATTTATTTATTTCAGATACTTCTATTGCGCTGCCAATTTACGCAGCACTTTACATATATATTGTACATTCACATCAGTCCCTAACCCTCAAGGGGCGTACAATCTAAGGACCCTAACTCACATTCATACATACTAGGGCCAATTTAGACAGGATTCAATGAACCTACCAGCATGTCTTTGGAGCATGGGAGGAAATTGGAGTACCCGGAGGAAACCCACACAGGCACAGGGAGAACATGCAAACTCCAGGCAGGTGGTGCCGTGGCTGGGATTCAAACCAATGACCCTAGTACTGCCAGGCTGAAGTGCTAACCATTTAGCCACTGTGCTGCCCAGATTCTAATACACATATGAATACATTCAAAACATTTTGATGCACGAAACAAGGATAGCAATTTTGTGGGTGTGTATTGCTCATCTACAGAGTGCTGAAAGATTATACTGTGTTATCACAAGAAGCTCTCTTGAAATGACTTTAAATCAACAAATACGCAGAGAGCTTAATGTTTACTCAGTCTTAGACCTGTAAAAAAAAAGGTAATGTTCTATTCATTAAAATGTGATATTTCCAAAAATGTGAATCATTTTCTAATTTTTACAATTAAATGGTTTTCAAAAAAATCTAATTTTGAATCGATGATAATGTCTTGTATTTAACATTTTAAAGAGAAAAAAAACAAATGCAGTTTCAATAGCTTATTTAACTTTGTGAATTACTCAATAGTAAAATTAACCCAATTGTGAATCACCCCATTAGTAAAAAATTAAACACTGGGGCTTGGAAGTCAATTTATTGAGAGATATGTCTGACATGAGTTACTAGAATTTTTGACCAATTCTGAATTTAATTGAATGTTTATAGGATATTTCATCAGAGGAAACTTTGTGTAGGCTCTTATGTTCTGGTGAATTAATTAGCCCATGTTGTTCAGCATACTGGAATGTGATGTAAACTTGGCTGGGAAGGTCAAGATGTCACCATGTCTGAAATTGGGATTTTCTGCTTCTCGTTTTTCATTACATAAATGGTGAAATGGTAAAGGGAAGAATTGTTGAAACTGGCAAAAAGGTCACTGAAAATGGGAATGTGTTTTTTGTTTTTTTTTCTTTTTAATCCAGTCCATGAAGGTCACTTCAATCAGACATGCTTCAAGGACAATGACCACATAGAACTCCAGCAGGGTAGTGTCTCAGTTGTGGTTCTTGGTTTAAAAATATGCAACTCCAGATTTAATTTCCATTGTGAAAAGACATATTGTTAGCCGTTTTTACAAGACAGAATATGAAGGCTGAAAGCATAATTTGTTAGAGAACTCTTTCATAGGCAGAAGCTATATTGTTTATGGCTGGACAGAGTTACTTAACTGGGGTTTGGGCTTCTACACAACATGGGTCATGCTACTTAATCACTTTCCCTTCTGAGGATTTACCCCCTTTCCTGATCAGGCCATTTTGTGCGTTACGGCGCTGCGTTACTTTAACTGACAATTGCGCGGTCATGCAACGCTGCACCCAAATTAAATTTACATTCTTTTTTCCCCAGAAATTGAGCTTTTTTTGGAGGTATTTGATCACTTGTGTGTTTTTTATTTTTGCACTATAAAAAAAAAAAAAAAAAGACCAACAATTTTGAGGAAAAAAAAAAAATACATATTTTGGACTTTTTGCTATTAAACGTCCAATACATTTTTTTTTTTTTAAATCACATTTTGTCATAAATTTAGGCCAAAATCTATTCTGCTATATGTCTTTGCTAAAAAAATTCCAATACGTGTAAATTAATTGGTTTACGTGAAAGTTATAACGTTTACAAATGACGGTATATATACACTGGAATATTTTTTAAAAACATTTTTACTAGAAATGGTGGCGGACATTCTGACACTGGAGGAAAACTGACTTGGTGTCGCGGACATCCCCAGCGACACCAATACAGTGATCAGTGCTGGGAAAAAAAAAAAAAAAGCACTGACACTGTATTAATGGCACTGGGCAGGAAGGGGTTAACATGAGGGCGATCAAAGGGTTAACTGCTTGCAGGGAGTGTTTTATTATGAGGCAGTGTCTGTGTGCTTCACTGTAAGCACACTACTTTGGATGGCTGGAGAACTGTTAGTAAAGAAAACAGTTCTCCTTCCCGTCGGAGATCCTTGGTAATCACCGGGCGCTAATTAGTAATCACCGGCCGGGACCCGTTGATTGAATGGTGGCACGGGTAGGGTGCTCACCCCCTACCCCGAAATGCGAAATCACGCATACATACACGTGATTTTGCACATCTGTGCCAACCTGTAGCAGTATTTCTGCTATAGGGTGGTCTAGAAGAGGTTAAAGCAGTAGTAAATAGAAATAAACAAAAACGAAAAAAAAAAAAAAAAAAAAAAAAAAAAAACACAATCTGGTTCCACAGGGTAAACGCCATAATGTGCTAGTATGCACTACATACTAACACATTATAACAGACTTCCCTGAAACACGGATCCTTCCAGTGGCATTCTGTCACCACTGACAGGAAATCCATCTTCACCCAGGAGTCATAGCTGTGGCACAGCTCTCTCAAAGGAAGACATGCCATCCATTGAGAACGCAGTGCGCAAGCACTGGTGACATTACCGGCTGCTAAACATTTACAGTAAATATCTCCTTAACGGTGCATGAATTTCCCCACTAAATTCTACAAGTGGTTCTAATTTACTATTGCTGTTCTCTAGCTGGTCTAAAACCACTTTTGACCTAAAGGGACGCTTTTTGGATGCCATGGACATTTCTCAGTTTTCAGGCAGAAAGAACAGTAAAAATGCAGGCAGGGCACAGGACAAAGCACTAGGGACAAAATGTATGTGAAATGGTTTGATACAGTAATGTTTTATTATGTGATTTTAGTGTATTTAGTGAATGACACTTTTTGACATTTTTAAATTTCCCGCCGTTCCGTCCCCGTACATCCTGACGTCGCAGGGAACGGAATCCGGAAGGCAGATGCCGGCATCGGCCGGAGGACATGGCCGGGGACACTGCAGGGGGGAACAATCGCAGGAGCAAAGGACAAGGTAAGTGAAGAAGAGATCCCGGAGCAACGCTGCAGGGTATTCCCGAGTGTAGCTCGGGGTTACCACTTGTGATGCTGAAACTTTACCCCGAGCTACACTCGGGAATACCTTCAGGGAGGTAATAGCGTGCAGCAACAGCCCTGAAGGAAGAGTCTTTTCTCCTGAAAAGACTTGATGTACTTGTCATTACTCTCAATAAATGCCACCTAATCTACCATCAAAAGTGCACTCTTCTAGACATCGGGAACTCATTGTATATGAGGAGGCAGTGGTACTTAACTGATGCTGGGTACATTTGGTGCTCAACACTACTGGAGGAAGGCAGAGTTTTGTGAATAGAAGTTTTGTTCTTCTAGTGCTAAATTAGAGTTTCCCCTTGAGATCCCCATGAGCATTTAACAAAATTCAGCATTAAAAAAGTCACAACTGTTTTAAATAAAAAACCTTCGTGTGACAGCACTTTCCTTAATCATTATTTACAAGTATTGGCAGTCATAATTTCTGATTTTCAATGCAATTAATATATCAAAAGGACAGAACTACACTGTGGTAACATTCATATAAATAGACTGTTAGATTTCTATGGAATAATGCTCATTATTGCTACAGAGAGCAACTGTTCATTTTTATTACAACGGGGAGAATCCCTGAGTTTAAAGCAGCGGTAAAATACATTGTGTACAGTAAAAACACAGTGGTAAAATGATTATCATGTAATACACTGCTGATATTGGACTGCATATGCATCTTGGTTACATTAAAAAGAAATAGAAATTTTATTATTTTAGATTTGCTCTGTGCAGAAAAATGTACACTAATATTCCATATACTTGTTCTGTTTATTATATATGTAATAACTCACTTTTTGTTGCATAGCGTTTCCTGCGCTGGTTTACATAAAGTGGTCTATTAAACAGCCATTTTGTTTCACTGTCATCTTTCATTCCACATCGTGGTAAGTGCATTTGATGTACTGTAGCTTCATCCAGGTGTCCAGTGACTGGAAGGTGAGATGATCGCTGGAAGTCTCTGCAACATATCAATGTATTTAACCAGCTAGATTAGCAATTTCAAAGCACACAATGTTAAATGATCAAGTAACCATGTGGTCTGCAATGGTGTTAGGTGTTGATGCTGATAAAAGAGCATTTGTTTCAACAAGCAATTAAAAACTGATCATTACACACAGAAAAACCTTGAATTTTAGGACAATCCTTACATAGAATATCATTCACCCACTGTGCTCATCACACATCAGCAAATTTGGACAGTTTGGATAGTCAGTTGTCAGATATGGTTACACACATAACTAAAAAAAAACAAAATATCCAGACTAAACAAATATCCAGACTATACCCCCAACCCACTCAAACAAAACGATCCCCCCCCCCACCACGAATACAATAAAAACAATCAAACCACCCTCCCCCAACCAACAAACCCCCCACCCCACCCCCCCCAAACAGAAACAAATCCCCCCCCCCCCACCCCGCCCCCCATAAAAATCAAAACAAACCAAAACCCACCACCCACAAAACCAAACAACCAAACACCCCCGCCGCCCACAAACAACAAACCAGAAAAACAAAACAAACCCCCCCCCGCCACCACCCCCACACGCAAAATCAAAACACAAAACCAACAAAAAACACAAACCCCCCCAGCACCAACCCAACAACACACCACCCCACCCCCTCCCACACCCCACAAAAACAATAACAAAACACCCCCCAAACAAACAACCCAAAAACAAACAAAACAAACCCCCCCCAACTCACCCTCCCCCCCTCCCACACCCCCTACACCCCAGCTATACACATACACACCCGCCCCCCCCCCCCCAAGGGGGGGTGTGGTGGGTGTGGTGTCACCCACCCACCCAACCCAACCCCCCCACCACTCTCACACCCAAAAACAAACAAACACCCCCACCCCACGCACACACACATAACACCCCCATCCAAACTCGTCCAACAATGTACATGTATGACAGCCTCAAACCCCCCCCCCAACGAACCGCACAAAATAACACACAAACTCCCCAATCCCTACACACCAAAACCCACATCACACATATCCCAACCATCCCAGACCCGACACCCCCCACACCAGTCCAAACCCGCCACAAACCCAAAACCAATCACAAGCAAGTCCACGCAGGAGGTCAAGGCATAAAATGACCAAAACTATGGTAAGGTAATCATTTATAATTAGATTTCTTTATCGCTCATGTTATCCATTCAGAACCAATCAAGAGTTTTTTGCTTTCATACCATTCAAGAGGGTTTTTTCATATATTTAGATCTACAATGGCAAACCAGTCATAAAAATTCCAATATATATATATATATATATATATATATATATATATATATCTCCATCCTGTATCATAATAATAATAATATTATTATTATTATATAGTCACGGCTGGATTTACATAATAAACTAACTGGCAAGGGTGTTAGACATTTATGCCCAAATAATTTAAAGTGTTACTAAACCCAAAACAGTAAAATCAACCTGTATATGCAGTAAAGCATGCTTGTTATACTTACTGTGGAACCTAAGGGGTTAATCATCTGCATTGTGTAAAAAAAGCCATTTGATCCTTACTGCTCTGTTCCTCCCCTTGTTCAAGCGACCACCTCTTATCTCCTGATAAGACAGACTGAACCGTGGGCATTTTCCACATGCTCAGTTTGGTGTGAATTGCTAGAGAGATTTTTTTTTTTTTCTTGGGAGAGTGCATGTGATCAGCACAAGGCCAATCAGCACTTGTCAAACAGAGGTCAGGGGTTTTGCATTCTCAGAGCAGAAAGAAAACTCCTCCTGGAAGCTTTAGCTAGTGCTTGGCTGAACACTGATAGAAGCCACAAGATTGCTCTAACTGCTGAGAAAAGGTATTTAGCAATTAATATTTACTAAAATAATTGCATTTCCATGTTCTATGTACTGTGGGAGACCAGATATAGTGAATGCAGGGTCCTGGGTTTATGAACACTTTAGGCATCAAAAGATGCCTTCTTTTAAATTAATATATTTATTACATGGTATTTTGTGCATTACTTGTATCATGATTAGAAAGCTTATTACCGTACTCACAAACAAAAAAACAACTTTAAATTTTGAGTTCCTACTAATTTTGAGTTGCCCCTATTTTTGTGCCTAAGATCATCAGAGATAGTAAAAGATTACTGTACTGCAATGTGAACACTTTGCAAACTTTACGCCATTATGCTGTTTATAAACCTCATGAATTGAAAAAGTACAGACACTTGGCCATCACACCTATATTAGCATAACACCCTCCACTCTTCTGGTTTAGCTTTCCACAAGATACTAAAATGAGTTTGGAAATTTGTGCTGATTGAGCCATAAGAGCTCTTGTAAGGCCTGTACTGATTTTGGTTGCGAAAACCTGGTTCACAATTGGCATTTCAATTCATCCCAAAGGTGATAAAGGATCTGCGCAGACAGTTCGTGCTCTTCCATACACACTCACCAAATCATCATCATGTACTAAAGCACTTGAATAGAAAAAGGCCATCTGCAAGCTGCTGCCACAAGTTGGAAGCACACAATTGTCCAAAAATGTATTTGTATTTCGGCAGCATTAACAGCATCATTTAAGAGACACAGTGAAATGTAATTATTTGGAGGGGTGTCCACAGATGTCAAGTGTCTACAAACCTTTGGTCACATGACGTGTATATGAAGGATGACTTTAGTAACATTTATTTTTTTATGTTTCAAGAGTGTACATAGTCAAAAACATGCTAAAATGATACCATCTGTATTTATAACAATTATATCAGTTTGGGGTTTAACATTTACCAGCCTAGCCAACACACTACATCAACAAGCTCGAATGAGACCAAAAATCAGATTCCACTACTCCCTCTAAACAAATCCTAAATTGGGTTTCTCTACCAACAGTATGTATGGCCAATGTACCCTTTACTTTTTCTGTATTATTTCTCATTGTGGAAGGATTTCTGTGTCACGGTGTTAGTTTTGTCTATCAACATTAGGTGGAATGAAGTTTCCTGAAGACCTTCTCATTTGGGGGCTAATGGACAGCAAATGCACCAGAATGGTCTTCTTGACAGCAGAAAACATAAAATTTCCCATCTGTTTAAACACATGGCTCTTCAGTTCATTTTCACAATATACAGTACATGGCGGATGGAAGGGCACAATGGCCTGAGGATACCAGTGGCTTTACTCATGTGTAGCACTACCACCTTAGGGGCCACTGGATATGAATTGGGTGCTCCCATGTTTTACATGGCCAAGCAACAGGCATTTTCCACACCTTGCGCACAGGAGTCAGCAAACAGTCTTCGAGCTTGGTTTTGTGTTTTAGTTTTTTTTCATTAAGGGGTTGAACTTGAATGGGGTCTAGGGGTATATGGGATGCTCAAGGAACGACTATGTAGCGACTATGTACAAAAATGTAAAGAGCACTACAAGCTTTCTAGTTTACCTCCTCAGACCTTGGATGATTCCTCACCCAGCTGCCTGAGCTCCCTGGGCAAGGGGGGCCCTAGAGCTGTCAATTTAGAACAGTCCCAGATGAGAAGCTAGTTGGATCTTGCACCTGACTGCCCTCTCCCATTATTTGGCCCAGGGGGGTGTAAGAGTACTCACACTGTCCTCTCCTGTTAGCTTAGTGGGATGGTGGCTGCCTACAGGCCTTATTCTAGGCTGGCTCCTTCCCTGCTCCACAGGCTGTCCTCCCCAGGAGACACTGACGCAGTGAAGATCCTCTTCTACAGTGACCTGCCTGTAGGTAGGTTCCCCCTCCCAGGCTCCTCACTTCAGCCTCTCTCAATCCATCTTCCACCCGACACTGTCCACCTCCCCCCAGGCCCTGCCACATTTGTGGGTTGCCCTGGTCACCATGCCCTGCCTCCTGCCAGGGGATTGGCCAAGGTTCCCCAAACATGCAGATCTGGGATTCCTCCCCTCTCCTGCTCTAGAAATCTCTCAGGTTTCTGGAAAGGTGGGAGGGCTCCAGAAGCCCTGACCTGTTAGAGCCTCTCAGCCTGTTCTGAGGTAACCTCACTACCTCACTCCCAGGCTGACTCATCCCCAGGCTAATCTACCAAACTAACCTAGAGGGCATTACATCTGTAAGAAACAGCATCTTGCCAAAAGGCTGAAATAGTTGGGCAGTGCAATACCAAGTAGATATACAGTAAGTAGGATGTGCAATGTTGCATTTAGCAAATTTATAATCAAATTAATGAATCTCCCTCCAAGATTTGCTAATGATGGCATGCTTAGTGTGCAGCGAACTCTGTTGGAGGGTTCACCAAGCATCTTGAGATGTGAACTTAGTAGTTTCCTATTTCGAGATGATCTGCTGAGATAGAGAAGGTAAGGGTATGCAGCGTTTTTTTCCCAGAAGATATAACCAGAAAAAATGCTTTCCTCACATGGGTTATATAGGACTTAGTATAGTTCAGAAGGTATCTTGAGTGTCTGATGAGGGTGGAACAAAAGTTTTTAATTTAAAAAAATAAAAAATTGCAAGTAACCCCATGAGACTGAGATCATAATTGCATGTATATTTATAATTTAATTTCTTCAACAGAAGTGTAGTAAACAAGTCTGCCAGCCAGAAAAATACATCTTTCCTCCTACATCCCTTGGCAGTTATCAAATCTTCATGTGGCCGAGTCTCTTCCCTCACACACAGCTGGTCAAAGAATGCCCTTTTATTGTGCCAAATTAATGGCAGCTGTTCTTTGCCCTGGGCTAAACTCTATGTGCACAGTGCAAACTATTTAGTGAATAAAATGCACACAATAGAACCAGCACAAGATCTTCGCTTTAGAAAAGAATTCTAAATTTAATAAATTATGAGTAAATGTACAGTAGGGAACATTAGTTCTTGTATTACTATATGAAAACGGTCATTTTTTGACTACAGATTAGGCTCGTTCAGACCAAATCTGACTTTGAAATCGTGCAACTTCACTTGAATTCCCACGATTTCAAAGTCTGATGTCAGTGCGACTTGG